CTGCTGAATTAGAGCTACTGGAATTCTGCAGAGTTCATGACTCTTTTGGACATGATAGCTTGAGAGTGACTGTAAGGCCTGAACTGTGCAGGCCACACTTCCGTGCTGGGCCAGAATAGGCTTTCAGAATGGTAATTTTTTAAGAAAGGACCTGCAGCAGACATTAAATCCACAGTGACTCCCTGTTGTTTGCCATTAAGATGAAGAAATTAAGCCCTTGACTGTATTGAAATATTTCATCATAACAGTCTTGGATTGCAACTTCGGGCATATGAAAGTCTATAGGGACTATAAACAAGGAGCAGTTATATCCATTCCACACCAACTTTAGAAGCATATTGCTGATACAGAATAATACTTGGCTTCTAGCAGTTGTTTTACTGCATACTTCCTGACAAAGGAACTATGGTAAAATTCCAATAGTCCGGCATCCAATAGTCCAGCACTCCTGATAGTCCGGCATCAAAATGGCAAGAGCCTAGTGAGTGAGCTTCGGCAAAAAATGAGTCACAAGGTAACAGCGGCAGCAGCTAAACTGAGCAAAAAGTGTAAAAAAGGCTTAAAAAACTAAAACATTACAGTATACTGTATACAGTATGTACAATAAAAAGGGTTAAGAACACTTTATATACAGTATATAATGTATACAGTGTATATATATAACCAGTTTATAGTACCTCCTGATAGTCCGGCATATCTGATAATCCAGCACCACCTAAATCCCTTAGGTTCCGGATTATCGGAAGTCTACTGTATTGACAAATGAGCTGAAGTGTTAGGGTATCACACTCTTCCTGAGACTTTCAGGATTTTAAAAGCCTTTGGGGTTCGTATAAGCACATAGTGTGGTTCTTTTATACATTGATATGGATGAGAGATAATAATGATCAAAAGCTGATCTTGCCATTCTAAAAGAACATCCTCCCACCACATCATAACCCAGTTACTACATGGTACTGTAATTACTTTTCCATTAAATGATACTATGTAAAACAAAAAATGTTATATGGCAGGTGGCAACTAGAAGTTTGAAATGAACACACACGAATAAGAAATATTAGATAGGAATGGGATTAAGTATATAGATTTAGAGTAGAAGATTCGATAGTACTGGAGAGATGAAATCTTTGACTCTCTGCTGTGTTAACAAGACAAATGTTAACAGCTCCAAATTTATGTAACAGAACCCAAGGGAGTTAGACACACAGCTCCTATTAAGTTTTTAATAGGAATTATGCTGCTAAATCCCTTACATGCTCTGCAAAATCTCCACACTATTATAAATAGCCTGCTTTCGCCAGAGTAAATGCCACTGCTGGCACAGCAGCCCTTATAGCATGGGGTGAATCAAGCTCTATGGGTTTAAACATTTTACTCAAACCGGGTTCTCATTCTGCTTAGAAGAGACTGAAAAAAGGGAGATGATAGGAAAAAAATGACATGAAGAATAAAATCTAGTATAGCTGATCTATACCAAAAGGTCTATTTATATCAAGCTAGTTTCTTGGGAGGGAACATCTGGTCTGTTGCACCTAATTTGAAACATTTCAGTGAGGCTGAGTTTACATTAAGCTGCTTTTACTTAAGCTGCTGCAATGCCTCAGGGACATTATAGTTCAGGTGCTTCATGCCCTGGTTATCCCCTCTTGGCCAGGCTCTGCTCATATAAGTCATGTGCTCCAGACCCCTAATCATTTTTGTTGCCCTCTGCGTGACTTTCTCCAATGCATCCACATCTTTTCTATAATGGGAGACCCAGAATTGGACATAATTCTCTAGGTGTGGCCTCACGAGTACCAAATTAAGGGGAATAATCACTTCTCTAGATCTGCTGGCAGTACTCCTACTAATGCACCTCAATATACCGTTAGCCTTCTTGGCTACAAGGGCAAACTGTTGACTCATATCCATCTTCTCATCTGCTGTAATTCCCAGGTCCTTTTCTGCAGAACTGCTGCTTAGCCAGTTGGTTCTCAGCCTATAACAGTGCTTGGGATTCTTCCATTCCAAGTGCAAGACTACACTTTTCCTTGTTGAACCTCATCAGATTTTTTTTGGCCCAATCCTCCAATTTGTCTACGTCACTCTGGACCCAATCTCTCCCCTCCCTCCCTATCTTAGTTTATGTCTGCACTACAGGCTTCTTGCGCAAGAAGCTTTTTGCATAAGAGATCTTCCGCAAAAACTTTCTTGCACAAGAGTGTGTCCACACTTCAAGAGATAATTGAAAGAGTAATATGCTTTTGCACAAGAAAGTGTCCAGACTGCATGGATGTTCTCTTGAAAGGAAACTCGGATTGCTATTTACAGTATAGCCACCTGGGCACCTGTACTTTTTTCGATTGCCTCTTTTTGCTCAAAAAAAACCCTGTTCCCCATCCAAGCACACCTTTTTGGGCAAGAGCTCTTCCGCAAAAAGGAGTTATTCCTCGCAAAAGGAGGAATACCTACACCAGAAAACCCCCTGTTTGTTTATTTTCCTTGCTCAAAAATGTGCTTGAGGTGTGGACACGCTGCGAGTTTTTGCGGAAAAACAGCCGTTTTTGCGCAAAAACTCAGTAGTGTAGACCTTGCCTTAGTGAAATCTGAAAACTTGTTGAGGGTGCAATCCATCCCCTCATCCAGGTCATTAATAAAAATGTTGAACAAAACCAGCCCCAGAACTGACTCTTGGGTCACTCCACTTGAAACCAACCACCAACCAGACATCGAACTGTTGATCACTACCCATTGAACCCAATGATATCCCCAGGTTTCTGTCCACCTTACAGTCCATTTATCTAATCCATACTTCTTTAATTTGCTGGAAAGAATACTGTGGGAAACTATAGCAAAAGCTTTGCTAAAGTCAAGATATATCATGTCCACCACCTTCCCCGTATCAACACAGCCAGTTACCTCATCATAGAAGGCAATCAGTTTGGTCAGGCATGACTTGACCTGGGTGAATCCATTTTGAATATTCCTGATCATTTTCCCCTCTTCCAAGTGCTTCAAAATGGACTTTCTTGAGGATCCCCTCCATGATTTTTCCAGGGACTGAGGTGAGGCTGCCCAGCCTGTAATTCCCCAAATTCTTCTTCTTCCCTTTTTAAAACATGGGCACTACACTTGCCTATGTACACTTATGCTCCTAAAACCCTTTGGCACTTTTGATATGCTTTCAGTTGGTGGAAGCTGATGTAGCTGCATTGAAGACCATGGAGCTACATCAGTTTACATGAGCTGAAGATCTGGCTCAAGTTTAATTATCTGTTTTTAATAGATGGACCTGATCCTAAAGCCAGGCACAAAGGACACATGTACACTACAGAGCTATTTCAAAATAAGTAGCGTTATTTCAAAATAACAAGGTGAGCATCCACATAGCAAATCTGTTATTTTGAAATTATGTCAAAATAACAGGATTCTTATTCCGGAATAATAAACCCTCATTTCACAAGGAATAACGCTATTTCAAAATAGTGCTAGTGTGGAGTCTCCACTGTTGCTGTTTCAGAATAGCTCCTCCCCAGGGCCATTCAAAGTAATTACTCCCTAGTGCTTCCTAGGGCTCTAAATCAAGGTAGCACATCCACAATAGGGGAGCCTGCCTCAGACTAATTTTGATGCTTCCCTGTAGTGCGGACACGCTCTTTTGACATAGTTATTTTGGGAGTTATTATTCCCAAATAACTTATTTTGAAATACCTTTGTAGTTTAGACATATCCAAATAATTGAAGTTCAAGGGAATTTTATCATGGACTTCAGTGGGATCAAGGTTTCACTCCTGGTCTGAAGTTCAAAAGATCTAGAGCCAAATTGACTTACCCCTTGTACTACAGCCGCTCCCCAAGTTGCGAATGGTCGAGTTACAACCGTTCGCACTTATGACCAAAGCTCCCATGGAGCGGTCGTAAAGGTGGTCCCCGAGTTACGAACGTGACTTGCGCTTACGAACAGCGCGGTCACGTGTAATTCAATGGGGTCCGAGTTATGAACGGATCGAGTTATGGCCAAGTGTTTGGTCTGTTACTCATTTGTAACTCAGGAAGAGGCTGTACATTGGGCTAGTCCAAAAGCTCCAGGTCCAAATACTCAAATTCCAGAGAAGCTCAGGTCTGGAGTTTTTGACATGGACTCTTTTCTAGCATGTGAGAGCACTTCTTTGAATGTGGAGGTTCATACACAAGCAACAATGTGTACTCAAGTGAGAAATGTGTGAACACACAAGATGTGGAGCAAGATAGTTATA